TACTCTACTTTTTTTTTTTTTTTTTTTGTTGATCAACTTTACTTAATTATGCGCTTTCTTTTTTGTGTGTGAAATTACTTTTCAATTAGCATTAGGTTTTTAAACTTCAAAATTGAGCAGATAATTTTTATTTTTTTATATAAATTAATGATAAAAATGTATAATTAATATACCTTAGTATAGTCTTTCCTCAATTCTGTCTTTTTTAGCCAAAGTTTCTTCTCAATCGGGTTGTTAAAATTCCTTGTCAGATTGTAGCTTTCAAGTAATGCCTTCGAAAAATCAACAATTTGTTTTTTTTTTATCAAAACCGGCAAGATCAATCCATCCATAACAGATGATAGAAATTTTTAATTTTTCTAGTTTCTTGCTTCTCATTCCTATATAATTGGAAGCAAAGAATAGACTGGGAGAGAACAATAGACACTAAAATGATAAAGCTAAAAGTATTACCCAACAGCAGTGGAAGCTTGCAAATACATTTGGTGACATGGGGTTGATTCAGGTTCATTCTGCTCCTCATATACCTCATTATCATCAGCATCTGGTATATATCCAGCATGCTTCATATGTTTAGTGAGGGCTTTCAGAAGAGAATAGATTTCCTTCCTTTGAGGATGCCTTTTATCTTTCACCATGAAAACATTTACATAACCCTGTATCTCTATCCAACTACAACCAGGCTCTTTGATAACTCCTTGTTTCCTCATTAGCTTTCTTACTTTAACAACATCTCCCCATCTACCAATTTCAGCATACATGTTTGAGAGAAGAACATAAGGTCCAGAGTTGCTAGGATCAATTTCTAAAAGCTTCTCTGCCACATACTTCCCCATTGTAATGTTCCGGCGAACTTTACAAGCACCAAGCAAAGATCCCCAGATAACAGCATCAGGCTCCATTGGCATCGTCTCTATTAAATTCTTTGCTTCATCAAGGCAACCAGCTCTACCAAGTAAGTCAACCATGCATGTATAGTGATCCTTCATTGGTACCAAAGCATGATCCCTCTTCATGGAGGTGAAGTACTGCCGCCCTTCTTCAACTAGCCCAGCATGGCTACAAGCACAAAGAACACCTATCATAGTGACATGATCTGGTTTCTCTCCAGATGCTGACATTTTATTGAACAATTCAAGAGCTTCAGCTGCATAACCATTTTGTGCATATCCAACTATCATCACATTCCATGAGACCCAATCCCTTTCCACCATAGTTTTGAAGACTTGAAAACCATCTTCCACTGATCCACATTTCATGTACATGTCTATGAGGGAGTTTCCTACAAAAATATCAGATTCTTCTCCAGACTGAAACCGAAATCCATGCTTCAATACATGCACGTGAGCTTGCTGTCCAAGCTGCAAATTAGCAAGATTAGCACAAGCATTAAGTAGATTTCCAAAGGTGTAGTGGGTCGGCCAAACAGATTCTCTCTTAAGAAGAAGAAAGAGTCCTAGAGCCTCCTCATTCTCCCCATTCTGTGTGTAGCCAGCAATTAGTGCATTCCAAGAAACTACATTTCTCTCCATCATCTTTGTAAACATTAACCTAGCCACTTTCACACTTGATGCCTTTGCATACCCACTTACCATTGAGGTTTCAGACACCACATTTCTAACTGGCATCCTATCAAAAACATGTCTAGCTTCACTAATCTTACTGCATTTTGCATACATATCAACCAATGCATTGCCTAAGATAAGATCATCCCTCAACTTATCACATTTCACAACACGTGCATGAATCTGCCGACCTTCCGTGATTGCTGACAAGCTTGCACATGCACTAACCACACTGGCTAATGTTACCTCGTCTGGTTCAATACCACAATCCATCATCCTTGTAAAAACCACAAGGGCTTCACCTACTGGACCATTTTGCTCATAACAAGTAATCAAACTATTCCAAGAAACTCTGTTCCTCTCATTCATCTCATCAAAAACTCTCCTAGCAAAAGCCACACTCCCACATTTAGCATACATGTCAACAAGGGCAGACCCCATGTAAACATTAGAAAAGTACAGACTTTTCGAGATCAAAGAATGGATTTGCTTGCCCATTTTCAAGTCCTTTGAGCCTGCACAGGCACTGAGGCCACTGCCAAATGAGTACTCATTAAGCACAAAATTCTCTTCATGCATTTTGACAAAATAATCAAGAGCTTCGTGAAATCTATCTTGCTGAGCAAATCCTGATAACATCGAGTTCCATGAGCACTGGTCACGTTCAGGCATCAACCCAAAAATTCTTGCAGCCTCATTGAGAAAACCCAACTTCGACAGCACAGTTACGATAGAGTTCCAAGAGAAAATGTTTCTTTCAGGCATTCTATCAAACACCCTGCGGGCATCCTCCAACGAGCCACATTTTCCATAGGAATCAACGAGCCTATTGTTGATAAATATCTCTGAGGCAAAAGAGGTCTTAGTGATCCTCGCATGAACGCGACGGACGTCAAGGAGACACTTTGATTGGACGCAAGAATCCAAGAGCTTAGCAAAGAGAGATGAGTCGCTAAACGATAGATCACCCACGATTTGCTTGAACAACCCATGCTTTGCCATTCCATTATCTTTGAACAAGAGAGCTTCTTGGGCATGTTCTGTTAAGGGCTTGACATGATCAAGGATACCGCAACTGTTTACCTTAACAAGGAACTTTGTCGGGTACGTACTCAGGCACTCTCCTTGGTGAAAGAGGAGAACCTGACTTCAACTAGATTCTCTGCGGGCAGAAGGTGCAATTCAGCACCTTTACTTTAAGTGTTGTGACAAATCAACCCCCCAAGTACTCCAAACCAAAGTAGTCAATACCATACCGGTATACGTATCAGTTTTGTTACTGGAACAGTACGTATTGAATATCGAAATTTTTTATGTACCGTTTCAGATTTATCACTATAAATATATATTTTTACAAATTAAATATCAAAATTTAAAATAAAATAAGAGATACTAATATTTAAAACTATTATATTTTTATAAATTAAAAATAAGTTTAAAATGATAATTTTTAATC